TGAGTCTTAGACTTTACTCTTGATGGCAATGGCAGGGAGATGAACCAGAGAACTTAATAAAATTGTAAATTTTACTCATCCTTGATAGTTACCTTTGCTTTGAGGAGGAGATGAACTAAACTGGATATTAGATGAGACGACATTAATCTGCATCTCAAATCGAACACTGCCTCCTTAGTATCATAGATTTGAGAAAGTACATTATCTACTTATTTATTCATTTTTATTATCGACTCCTTGGTTTGGGTATACCTCCTTAATTTTGTGGATGTTGGGACAGTAGATAATGTACTTATCTGATGTGTTTCTGATATCATGTTAGGGGCTTGTGTTTTTTGTATTAAGGAAATTACTCCAATGATTAAATTGGAATTTTAATGATTAGCTGTTCAAGGCTGTTTCATTTTCGGGGCATGAGATTTGATGAATGGCAAGAAAGAAAGACCAGATTGTATACAAATAGGCTTTCTGATGCTTGAAATATAAAGCAGAAAATGTTCATGTGGTAAAGCCACACGAGAAAGGAACTGGGAGATAAAAGCTACATCAAGCCATTGTATTTAGTTGTGTAAACTGTAATGGGGTATTGCCCTCATAATTTTTGTTACTGTCAAGTTTGTCACTGAGAACAGGTGAGAACGAGCTCAACCATATCTGCCAATGCCATGGTGAAGAATGAAGCTTCTAGAGAGAATGAGAGAAAGAAAGAGAATAAAACTGATGAAATGAAGCCCAAACCTTTATTGAGACAATACGCAGTATATATATATATATATACATTTGTACAACTGGCATTGTTAACCAATACTAACCGACCTAACTAACACTAACATTACTTAATTGCTTAAACTAAATATCTGATTATGAAAAGCATTAAATAAGATATCTCAATACCCCCCTCAAGTTGGAAGTGGTGAAAACACTACCAACTTGTCTAGAACACTAGAATGTTTGATGCATGTTAGAGCGTTGGCAAGTATATCTGTAGGTTAATGGTCAGTTGTATTGTGATGCAATGAAATAAGACCTTCTTGCAGTTGTTTCCTCACAAAGTGGCAATCAACTTCGATGTATTTGTACGCTCATGAAATACGGGATTCTTAGCTATATGTAAGGCTGACAAATTATTACAAAATACTGAAATGGGATGAATAGAAGGAACTCTTAGCTCAGTCAGTAGCCTGCTCAACCAGACCAGTTCACCAACCACTTTTCTAAGGGACTTGTACTCTGCCTCTGCTGAAGATAGAGAAACAGTCTCCTGCTTTTTAGATTTCCAGCTGAGTGGGCTATTTCCCAACAGAACAATGTACCCACTCACAGACCTTCTTGTGTCTGGACAGGAAACCCAATCAGAATCACAAAAGGCTCTAACAAATCAGCCTCCGGTGTTGGACATGAAAACTCCCAAAGTAGGATCACCCTTGAGATATCTCACAAGTGATAGGCTGCCTTCAAGTGAGGTTCCCTAGGATTTTGCATGAATTGGCTTAAGTGTTATACTCCAAAGGCTATATCCAGTCTTGTGTTAGTAAGAAAGTTTAACTTGCCTATTAGCTTTCTGTAAAAGGTTAGATCATCTAATTGTTTGCCCTCCTTGAACTTTATCTTTTCATTAGGGTCGAGTGGTGAACTCAAAGCAATGTACTTCAAGCAATTGTACTCTCTCAGTAAATCTAGAACAAACTTTCTTTGAGAAATAATCACACCATCAGGCTTGTATAGAACATCCAGACCTAAGAGGTAGTGCAAGTTGCCCAAATCCTTTATCTTAAACTTATCATGAAGGAAAGCTTTCGGCTGGTGTATTTCCTCCTGATCTGTGCTTGTGACTAAGACATCATCTACATATACTGTCACATAAATCACTAAATCTCCATGTTGCTTGTAAAACAATGAATAGTCATTCAATAAGTGATTGAAACCTTTGGAACACAGGACCTCAGTTAACTTCGCATACCACTGTCTACTAGCCTGTTTAAGATCATATGGGGATTTATTCAATTTGCAAACTAGGGATTGATCTTTCACCATGAGGTCTGGTGGAACTTGCATATACACTTCTTCATGTAAATCCCCATGAAGGAAAGCATTATTTACATCATTGGAACATTGACCAATTATTATTTACTGCAACTGAAATAAGTGTTCCCACTGTAGTCATCTTCACTACTGGAGAAAAAGTCTCTGTGAAGCTACACCCTCCTGCTGAGTATAACCTTTTACAACTAGTCTGGCTTTGAATCTTTCTATTATGCCATCGGATCTGTGCTTCACTTTGTAAACCCATCTACAACTTATTGCCTTCTTGTTGGGAGGAAGAGGCACTAGGCTCCAGGTGTTGTTAGCAAAGAGTGACTCAAACTCTTGGACTATGGCTGCCTGCCAAGCAGGACTGACAGCAGCATCTTCAAAAGAAGATGGTTCACTATCATTGCAATGCTGCTTACCAAAGCCTGACTGTTAGGATTTATTGATTCAAGGGCTATGTGGTGACAACTAGAAACAGGGTGTTGAGAGAAAAATAATGTTTATCAGCATTACTAACATTGTGTACATAGTCTTTCAGATATCTAGGATTTTGTGTTCCCTCTGTGACCTTCTTAAAGGTTCATAGGAATGATGCACTGGTGGACAACTAAGAGAAGGAGGTGAGTATGAAGGAGAAGGTGCAGAAGTGTCAAGAAGAGAAATTGAAAAGGGAGAAACATAAGGTGAACAAAGTGAAGGAGGAGAAGTGGGTATAGAGTCAACTGGACAAGGTGAAGTTATATAGGAAGAATTAGGTGGTGAATCATTAGTGGGCATTCTGGTGGCATCGTCATGGCTAGTAGTCACAAGTTCATCAGAAGAGACAGCATCAAAGAATGTAGGAAAGGGCACAGACTTAGCCTTAGAACAGATCTCAAAAGTAAAGATAAACTCATGGATGATAATGTCTTTGGTAATGTGTATTTTCTTTGTTGACAAATCCAAAACTTTATAACCTTTGACACCAAAGGGTAACCCAAAAAGACATGTGGAACTGATCTTGGCTCAAATTTGTTGATGTGAATCTTAGGTGTTGTAGGAAAGCACAAGCAACCAAAGCTTCTTAGTTGTGCATAGTCTGGTTTCTTGCCATATAGGACTTCAAAGGAGACCTATTTTGGAGATATGTAGTAAGTAACATGTTTATAATGTGAGTGACTATTACAACACACTTCCCCCCATACTTCAAAGGCAGTTTAGATTGGAAAGTACAGCTCTAGCTATTTTAAGCAAATATCTGTGTTTTCTTTCCAGCACTCCATTTTGTTGTGGTGTATAAGGACAAGTTCTTTGGTGGACAATCCCTTTTGACTGAAAAAAACATTGGGTTCTAGATTGTTAAACTCCAATCCATTGTCAGATCTAATGGACTTGACATTGGTTTTGAACTGATTTTCAACTAAGGAGATAAAGGCCTTGATTGTTTGTAAGGCATTGCTTTTGCATGCCAACAATTGAGTCCAAATAGTTCTATTATAGTCATCTACCTTAGTGATGAAGTATCTATATTTGTCATGAGTGTGTTTATGATAAGGTCCCCATAAGTCTACATGGAGTAATTCAAAAACTTTGGAAGAAATACTGGCTTTTTGGGGAAATGGTAGTCTAGTTTGTCTAGCCATGGGGCAGATTGTGCATATGAATGGTTGCTTGGGGGAAAATTCAACAGGTATAGTGGAGATACCTTTTATTTTTGCAAATGACACATGCCCAAGACTACTATGCCATAAGATGTTCACATTATTGGACAAACAAGAATTAGATCCAGGTGCATCAACATTCAAAGTAAAGATATTAACAGTTGAAAGGTAAAGGTTCTGCATTTGATTCAGAGGTGACTTATTTACAAATGAAGGTGAATGATGTTGCAGATTATTCAAAAAAGGACTATTTACATCACAAGAATGATCAGAAGCTTTGGTGGAAGAGTTGTTGTATCTCAAACACTTGGAGCAAAGCAGGTACAAGCCATCTCTTACTTTACCAATCTTCAGATGCCTCTTCACTGAAGGGGCCTGCAGAAGACAAGTATTATCAGTAAATGATGACATGCCTTTAAGATGTTTGGTTAACCAATAGACAGACACAAGGTTGAACTTGAAAGAGAGAACTAAAAGGACTTTGTACAGTACTATTTTTTATGTGAGAACAACATCACCAATCTCCGATACTTTGACTTTGTATCCATTATGTAGGACTACTAGGAGAGGATAAGGTAAGAATTTAATATTAGACAGTAAGGATTTATTAAAGGTCATGTGATTGGAAGCCCCTGAGTCTAGTATCCATGTATCAGTTTTGGATTCAAAGCATTTACATGAAAGTTTTCCAAAATCAATGGAAGAAGTGCATACTATCATACCTGCAAAATTGATAGCATTGGCGCTAGATGAACGTGAATTCCCTGAGGATTTCCCAGCATCTTCATTCCCCACATGAAATTGTTGAAGTAAGCTCACAAGTTGTCAATACTGTTCTTCAGTTAGGTTCACATTCTTTCCATCATTTGGTGTTCTGCTTTCATTTTCCTTAGTGATAACAGTTTCATTGGGAGTTCCTTGTACATTTGCAATTACTCATTTGCCTTTATTGTATCTAGAATTTTGGCCATAGTTCTGACCATTTGGGAAGTGCCTTGGAGTGAAGTTCTGAATAGAATTCTGACTGTTCTGTGGGTAACCATGAAACTTGTAACATCTCTCCTTATTATGTCTTGGCTTTTTGCAGTATTCACATATGAGTCGAGCTCTAGGAATTTCACTATAATTGTTATTTGTTGGAAAATTTGTCTTAAATGAACCTCGTCCTGACGCATTCACGTTTAGTGAGGTTGACTCAACAGACAAATGGCTAATTGGCTTAATCTCTCTTTGTTTCTCATCCTGAACTAGGAGTAAAAATGCTGGTGCTAGGCTTGGTAATGGATTCATTATAAGTATGATGCCTCGAACTACTATGTACACCTCATTCTATCCCATAAGGAACTGTATCAGTCTCCTATCTTGCTCAGCTTTGTACATACTCTCTTTTACACCATAATTACAGGTACAACTGCATTGAGCCCTTTTGTTCAACGTAGTGAGTTCTTCCCAAAGTTTCTTCAATTTAGTATAGTAAGTAGTAATATCAAGAGTACCTTGAGAAAGGTCGTTGATTATATTCTGAATTTGATACAGCCTAGATCCATTAGTTTGTTTATAGCGATCCTCCAGTTCCTTCCAAAGTTCAACAACATCATTTGCATATTCTACACTGTCTGCGATTTCCTTATAAAGTAAATTTAGGATCCAAGACGTCACCATATTATCACATTGCTCCCATTGGCAAAATTGTGGTGACGAAGGATCTGGTTTTTTGCACTCACCGCTTATGAAACCTAGTTTGTTCTTCACAGACAATCCCCTCAATACACTTCTCCTCCAAGACTTGTACCCTACTCTGTCAAAAGCAGCTTAAACGAGCATAGCTCCTGGATTATCAAATGGGTGGAGGTATAGAGGATTACTTGGATCAATTCCTGTGCTTGTAGCAGTAACAGTGGTGGTAGTTTCCACTCCAGTCAAATCGTCTTGGTCAAGTACGACCATGATTGAATGAAATTGGTGAAGAAAATAAAGGAATTTTCAATTATCACAAATTTTGACAACAATTCGCTAACAAATAAACGAAATCCCTAAAATTAGGGCAAAGTTTGAAATCTAATAAAATCGAACAAGGAGACAGATCAAAAAAGCAAAATGCAGGGGAAGATGATGTGCGGGATTAACCTCGCTCTGATACCATGTCAAGTTTGTCACTGAGAACCAGTGAGAACGAGCTCAACCATATCTTCCATGGTGAAGAATAAAGCTTCTATAACTCAGTGTGAGAGAATGAGAGAAAAAAAGAGAATAAAATTGATGAAATGAAGCTCAAACCTTTATTGAGACAATACACAATATATATATATATATATATTTGTACAGCTTGCACTGCTAACCAATACTAACCTACCTAACTAATACTAACAGTACTTAACTACATAACTGCTTAAACTAATTATCTGATTATGAAGACTAAGCATTAAATAAGATATCTCAATTGTTACAACAATTTTCGGATTTAACGAATGTTTCTAGATATTCACTATGATTTTACTGGTAATTTCAGTGCATTTCTTTCAAAAACGGTTCAACAGGAGGTTTGCCTAGTTCGAGAGAATGGAGGATTTTCATCAACTCATAGTTTCACAAATTATGCGAGGTGATTTTTTCCTTTAACAAACTCCATAAGTTGAAGCATGGTCAAGTCATTTGCAAGTAAACAAGCAAGTAGACATTTATGTTATCGGTATTCTATATCAATCCAAAGAATATATGATATATGTCTCTTTGTTTATACTTTAGTATAGTGTGTTATTCTTCTTTTCTGTACTTTCTGTTCCGCATGAATTGTGAAACTAAAGATGATGGTATGGTTTTAAAAAATTTCAGTTCAGTATTATCGACATTTGATTTCTTAAAATATCAAATACTATGTCAAAACCAAACATGATTAAATTCGATAAGCGTTGATTTTTCTCTTTTTAATTTTCATGTTATTCAGTACAATTTGTTCGGGTCAAGTCTGATTATCCAGTTTTTACTGAACTATGAGAACTCTTAAACTAGGTATCGTAACACAAACAACCAAAGATGTATTAATTGGGAAATGATCCTTATCCCTCGAGGTAAAGCTCGGAATTCAACCAAGTGGATCATTCAACCATTTGAAGCATGAGACCAGCAAATAATATTTTAATTCTAGAAAATATATACATAAAATACCTAGTTTAGCGAAAAATCTTCACTTGCCCCATATATTAGACAATAAATCAATCCCTATTTGTCAACATTTTTAGTTTAAATGGTGCCTTGTATGTTAGATGATAAATCAAATCCTATCTATCAACATTTTTAGTTTAAGCGGTTGGATGATCGATTAATTAAGTTAATTCCTTCCTTCACCTTGGAAATCATGGGGGAAGTGAGCCTGAATATTTTATTACCAAGACTAAAGTACACATCGCATGGGCCATGAACAACAGGTCTCGAAAACATCAACCATAATGCACATGCTTTTATTCTAGATAAGGAAAAATATTATATAGATGTATGGAAATATTATATAGCAACTATCAAAATAATAGTCGATATGGATGGATGGATAGATAGATAGATAGATAGATAGATAGATAGATAGATAGATAGATAGATAGATAGATAGATAGATAGATATTTATGTATGTTATATATAAAAACTATGCAACAATTTTATATGATTTTGCGGCTACTGAATATAATAGATAGATAGATAGATAGATAGAATATTTATGTATATTATATATAAAAACTATGCAACAATTTTATATGATTTTGCGGCTACTGAATATAAATAATAGGGATTTTTACCTATCTATACTACATATGAAACTTATTTACCTTCCCTAATCAAGTTTTAACTTAATTACATGGGCATATATAATTTACCAGTTATATAAAATTTAGTATTAATGAGTATCCTTTTATATTAAGAATTTAATAGGAATCAACTATTTCCCCATCCCTGCTCTCTCTCTCTCTCTCTCACTACAAGAAACTGGACTTATTATGGCGACATATTGTGGCGACCCATTGCGTTGCAGCAAAAGTTATAGTTTTAGCGGCGACTTTAAAATGTCGCTACAAAATGACAATATTTAGTTGCAACTTTATTAGGTCGCCTCTGATATATGCAACTAAAGGCTGAAATATTTCATTCCCGCGAAAGTAAAATTTTGGCTCCACGGATTTTGTGGCGATTTTAATAGAGTCACCGCTAAATAGTTTTTGGAGCGACTGGGTCGACTCTATTACTTAGTTATTTTAATTTAAAAAAAAGAGGCACATAACAATTAAAACAACAGAAGACCTTAAAAAAATAAAATTCTTGCTTTCCTCTCCATTTCTCAATTTTATTGTTCCCTCACTAGAAACCCTCTTTCTTCTAAAACTCACTGCTCTCCCCTACTCTGCTCAAAATCCCTAAAATCATAAAATGTGAATCTCATATAGATGCTCCATTTCTCAACTACAAAGGAAGAACTATGTTGGCTGCTCCGTTTCTCTGCTTCCAGTTACTGACCCAAAAACTCAAATCATGTATGTGTTAAAATCTCTAAATACTTTCATTTTTCTTTTGGGTTATACGAAAGCATGTTGGGTTTTCTTAGGATTTCCAAATACAACAAGTATTAAGGGAACATTTTATATTTTGGGTTCTTTATAATGATTCTAGAAGGCAAAATTTTTAGCATGCAGCTAGCAATAATTATTATTTTAATGTTTTTACATTTGTATTCTCATATTTCATCTCAAATTTCTTTGACCCATTTGAATATTTACAGGAATTCATACAGTTTGTGTCATCTAAGTTTTGACTGAACTCTCAACTATATATTTTTCTGGGTAAGTGAAAGTTTCTTCTTGAAAGACCCTTTGGTGTTGTTATTGTGATTGCATTTTTGGTATTTCATTCTTTTTATGTTTTTATATGGTTATGTGCATTTTCAATTTTTTTGACAATATTTATCTGGGTTTTGTTCGAACCTTCAATCTGAGGTCAGTTTTATTTTTCTATGTTTCTCTTTATTTTTGTTCGAACCTCAATCTGACAATATTTCATTATTTTTATGTTCTTATATACTTTCTTAAAATTAGTGAATGAGTCTTTTTGCCGTATGATTTGATATTTAAACAGAAGGTAGAGTTAAAACATTGGAAGAAGATTTGTGGCAGTATATGCTCTTGAGGAAAAAGCCTAATTTGAGTGAAACTGAAGCAATCAATTTAGGGGACCAGGATGATGTTAAGGAAACCAAGATAAGTGTGCATTTAGAATCGCAAGTTAAGGATGAAATAATCAAAACAATAAAATACTTTGCTGAATAAGGGAACATGGTAAGAAATGAGTTGTTGTAATGTGTATCCTAAGCGTAATAGCTACTGTTATTCAAGCTTTTATCATAAGCGATCATTCTTATTTAAAGAAGTTCTTCCCGAGGGGTCATTGAATAAGTTTAATATTGTTTGAAAATTGATATGAATATCCCTATATTAAATTTTAGAGTAACATGTTTGCTATTGAAAATATATATAATTATGGTCAATATATAGTTGTTGAGAAAATAGGTATTAGTGGCGACATAATTTGTTCACACTGTTGGTTTCTTTGTTTTGTAGCGACCGAGGTCGCAACAAAAAGACAATCATCTTTTCGTGGATTTACCACTTTTTGTGGCGATAAAAAGTTGCCAGTAAACTTATATTATTTGTAGCGTTGATAGTTGCAGCTAAAGCTCACATACAGTGGCGACCCAATTAAAATTTATTCTAGTGAAATTATTTTTTGTAGCGTATTTGTATACTTTTTGTGGCGACCAGATCGCCACAAATGGGGATAGTTTTTGTGGCGACGCGTAAATATCGCCGCAAATAACATTTAGTTACGGTTGTACTTGCAGCAATACGAAAGTCGCCACTAATACGTTTTAGCAGCGACTTTCATAGACTTTGCAGTGACTTTGGTCGCCACAAGAAGGCTGAATTCTTGTAGTGTCTCTCTCTCTCTCTCGTCTCGCCTTCTCTATTCTTTCCCCAACTTTTATTCCTTCATACTCTGCTTTTTATCCTCTCTTTCATCAATGAATTTCAATTGTTTTAATATAGAGTTTTAACTTAGCAATTTTTCATGTTGCACAATTGGTGTTCGAATTAAAATTATCAATCAATAAATTCTGCAGGTGTTTGACTCTCCACCATTGACAACCATTAAAAAGTTTCGAAGCTTTTGAATTCGAATTTGAGTTTTTCAAAAATATTATTTATTTGGATTAATGTTGTTGCAAACAATTGAGAATATTCTTTGGAGTTTATATCTCAATTTTGAGGGTATTTGGTAAAGATTAGACTTGATTTTTGCTTAATTTCATATTGAAAGAAGAAGAAGAAGAAGAAGAAGAAGAAGAAGAAGATATGATGCACAATTACTTACAAAATTGTATTAAAGTTGTATGTAATTATTTAAGTTGTATTTTATTATAATTATATACTCCATCCGTTTCAATTTATGTGAACTCATTTGACTGGGCACGGAGTTTAAGGAAAAAGAGAAGACTTTTGAATTTGTGGTGTAAAATGAAGCACATATATTTTGTGTGGCTATAAATCATTGCATAAAGGTAAATTGTTTCCAAATAGGGAAAGAGGTCATTCTTTTTGGCACAGACTAAAAAGGAAATATGTTCACATAAATTGAAACGGAGGGAATATTTTTTATTTGAATATTGTATGAAAGTCGAAAAATAGTTGTATAATGTATGAATCGTTTTATGAAATTTGTATTTAAGTTATAAATATTATCTTTTTACATAAAGTTATTGATATGTATCAAAATTGTATTAAGAGATGCTTTCATTGGAATTTCAAAGAGAAACAAGAACACACCACATACAAAATACATAAAAAAGACATATTGTATAAAATTTATACGAAAATTATATTTAAGTTGTATGATGTTGTAGTTGTATTTA